CACACCCACCCACACACTCACTTGTTTTCTGGGTTCTTCCATTTTTTATTTTTACCTTTTATCTATTTTCTTGTATCCACTAAATTCTTAATTGCGTTAATCTTCCATACTACCAAAATAAATAAAACTTTCATACTAAATACCATTGTTCCTAAAAGTCCTTCAGCCTGTAGCTCTTCCCCCATTGTACCCTGGTCATTCATCCTCTTTCTCCACCTCTACATTCCAATAAACTTAAACTTCTGGTTTAGAACTTTACTCACTTTTTCCTTGTCCATCTGTTGCATCCAAAAGTTCTATTGCTAAATAAAAGTTATATACTATGGTAAAATTACCATGCCATTTTGAGGTGATTGGACTGAGATCAAATTTGGAAATAGATCTCTCATTCTTAGTCATAGATTCTTCTCAAAACTAAAGCCCATCTGTTAATTACTTACCAAATTCTGGCTTTGTGTTTTAGCAAACATCAAGAAGAGATACAACATGGAGGAAGCCTGGCAAAGACCAATCCCATCACCTTCTGGAGAACATCTTCCCATCAAGCCAAGATTTGAGGATTCTGCAATTCGAAGAAACATTGGAATTCCTGAGGATAATTCTGCACGTCCCAGAGGCAATGTTAGAGTCCCCAAGAATGATGTCAATACTATCCCCATGGTTAATGTTGGAATGCCCATGGATAATCCTCAAGCTCTTAGAGGCAATGCTGGAGTTCCCAGAGGGGGTGGTTTTGAGGTTTACGTGGGTAATAGTGGTAGAACCTCCAGACGTATGGTATCTTCTCCACTCAATGAGCTCTCAAAGATAGGTGAACATCAGTTATAAAAACTGATACTTTACAATGCTCTCCATTGAAGAAACAAACTAGGTCACTTAACATCAAAACAGACATGCACAAACTTGACAACTCAAAATACTAAATGCAACATCTAGATTATGAATCCACAATGAGCATAATTAATCAACTTGTGATAGTTATGTATTAGATTGTAGCTAGCTAGTTTATCCTGTATACAATAATCAATTGTATATGGAATAATCTAGTTGGAGGAGTGTGTTGTAATGACTTCATTAAACAAAATAACAATTTTCAAATGACAATGTCTCCTGGTAATTTCAAGTCATCTTGGATACTTTGATAGACAAATGAAAATGACCTCAGAGGTTTTGGCATTTATTTTGATGAGTCTAGCTTAATGTTGAAGACATTTATCGAGTGAAAGCTAGAATCCAGGAGATTTAGCAGAAGATTCTTGAATATCGTACTTCTCTGAAATATTTTAAAAAGACAACTGTGGAAAAGTTCACCCACAAGAATGTTTAAATATGCCTATTTCTTTGCTTTTTGACTTATACACAGCAAAATTGTAAATATTTATGGGAAGCCTTAAAAATATAAGGAGACACATAACTGTAGAACTGTAAATAGCATATGTGGTTGTGATGTTAATAATATAAGACAATAACAGCACCACAGGATGCCTACAATATTGCATGCTAAAACTATGTTTTGTGTTTGAAAGTTAATTTTTTGCCTTTCCCAGCCACTTGCATAAGAAGATTCAGGGTAGAAGCTAAAAATTATTGAACTTCTTTATGAGATGAATGAATAGGATGCTCTTCCCAGAAAAATGAAGATAGCATTTAATTGGCCCAGATGATCAGCCCAGTATTAAATTACTGAATCCTACTTATGTATGAAAGATGGCTTTCTGGAACATCTATTTCACACATCTTGTGAGGTAGATAAAATATTACCAGAAGGTTATGAGATTAACTGACGAATTACTTGGGAAAGTAATCTCATTACTTTGTATTCATACATAATATAAAATTTGTGCTGAGTTTTAGGGCACATGGGCCACCACTCAATTTGTACATTTAAAATTTCAACTTTCCTGAATAATGGTTGCTGAAGTTTTTACAAAACCAAGGGCAATTTGAATAATAGGTTACCACCTAACCCCTTATTGTGTGCCTTAACACATAGTGCAAGGGGTGGCAATCTTTGGACTGAAGGCAAAATCTTGCCTTTTTTATAAGATTTATTTGGCCTCTGAGGAAGGAGGTAAAGAGGCTGGCTAGCCTCCCTCCCTTATGTCCCCATGGTTCAGCATGTGCATCATGAACCAGGGCTTTGACCTCAGAAAATAAGGAAAGGTAGTGAGATCCTTTTCTCCTATTTCTTACCAACCCAGAAGATGGGATACCATTTTAGACTTGAGTAACCTGAATTTTACATAGTGTGGCAAAACCACAGAATAAAGGAAGGAGAAAAGCTACT